GGTAGCAGTGGATTCTGAGGGCTCTGGGCTCTTGCCCTGGCCATGCATATTCGCACCACCTTCCACGTGCTCACCCCACATGGAAGTCTAAGGGGCACACCCAACGTGTTTCTGCCTTTACATGTCTTTTATATCCATATCCTTTTCTCCACACCCTTTCCCCCACTGATCCAGGCAATAGGCATTGTGTTTCTCCTTCCTGAGATGGAGAAACATCTGGAAAACATATAGGACATCTGGAAAACATATAGTCTTTCTTCCAGACTCTGGGGGGCCCTCCTGGAAGACCTGTGTACAAGCTGTAAGACCCTATTGCAGGTACAACCCTTCTGTTTACCTGTTGACATACTCTGATTGTCCCTCTTGGATGATGAGTTCCTCAGGACACTGACACCATCCTGCTCATCTCAGTGTTCCTGGCACCAAGCAGGAGGAACTTGGTGCTATAGTTTCAATATTTCTACCAAGACTCATGTTGAAATTTAATTGCCATTGTGATGGTATTAAGAGTTGGAACTTTTAGTAAGTGATTAGCTCATGAGGGCTCTGCTCTCATGAGTGTGTTAATGGGGGGGATGGGCTAGTTATGGCAGGAGTGTGGGCTCTTGATGGAAAGGTGAAGCCCAGACCCCTTCATTCTGCCTCACATGATTTCTTGCCCTTCCACCTTCTGCTACAGTATCATGCAGCCTGATGTCCCTTGATAGGTGCTAGGACCGTGCTCTTGGACTTGGACTTTCTTTGCAAGCCAAGTCATAGTTTCTTTGTAGATTACCAAGTTGGTGGCATTCTATTACTAGCAGCAGAAAATGGACTAGGGCACTCGGTAACCTGTTGAATGAATGAACTTGCTATGTTCTTTCTTCTTCCCCTCTTCCCCTCTTCTCCTCTGCTAGAGAAATTTCTATCCCCCCTTGTCAATGAGCATCTCAAGTTCTCTTCTGTTTTAATCTGTCCTCACTCTTTCTGTATCACAGAAAAAAGTGCACATGAACAGGCCGTAGTTGGACCCCTGCAATGCATCATAAAATCTTCTCTGGTTGTACTGTTGATCCTGGTGGCTGGACTGTTTTGGAAGACTTGTGAGAAGAAGACTAAGACAGTAAGAGGCAGGTTGTACTGTTCTTTCCAGGCCCAGATACCTCCTTTCCCCAATGGTTGCCTTTTTCCTGGATTTTCCTGTTCAGGGAGTGGGCCTTGCAGAAGGAATGGTAGTTATGGCCATGGCCTTAGGGTTCATGGCACTGGGAAGGGACACAGGTTTTCAACCACAGATTACAGCTTCGTTTGTGTGTTTCTCAGATGCAGAATTATAAGAAGACTACAGGGCAACGGCAGTAACATCTATGGAAATCTGATGGAGTAGGAGTCTCAGAGGGTAAGAACAAAGTGAGAACTGGGAGCAGTGGGCAGCCCAGGTTCCTCATTTCCCAGTCCTGGGCCCCCCTACTCAGGAATCTGCCCTTACTCACCTCATAGCCTCTATCGATTTCTGGATAATCAGTCGTATTTACTAAGAAAATGCACAATTGGGGCAAGTATTGTGTTAGCTGTTATGGGGGAATTCCTGAGCAGGGCATGTCAACAGGCACTGTTTCTGTGTGAATTCCCTGGGCCCTGCTGTATCCCCAGCTGTTTCAAGAGCCCTCTGTCTTACATTCCCAGGGTATCAGTGAACAACAGCTGGAAGAAGAGGAGCTTCTCGCTACTATCTACACGGAGATCCATAGACCAGCTCAGGCCATGAAGATCATTTAATTGGAGGAAGCAGGAAAAATCCAGCACTCCTGGGACACCTTCACTTTGAGCTTGAAACCTGCATACATCTGCCTGTACCGACTTCAGTCCAGCCCTAGCTCCTGCTCTGCATTACCCTTACTGTGGCCACAGTTTCCTGGGAAGCAGTGGTCCTATCATTTCCTTGGCTCCCTCCAGCAGCTGCCCAGACACAGAAACTGTATAAGTGCTGATCGTGCTCTGGTGGATGGAATTAGGACCTGGGTTTCGGATGATGAGTTGCGGGTAATGGCTATAGCATGAGTAGGTGGGAGCCTATAGTGGAACTGACCCAAGACTTCCTTTGTAGACCTTGTGTAGGGCTCCTATTGAGGTGCCAGTGTGTGTGTATGTGTGTATGTGTATGTGTGTGTGTGGGGGGGTGTGGCCACAGTTTCCTGGGAAGCAGTGGTCCTATCATTTCCTTGTCTCCCTCCAGCACCTGCCCAGACACAGAAACTGTACAAGTGCTCATCATGCTCTTGTGGATGGAATTAGGACCTGGGTTTCGGATGATGATTTGCGGGTAATGGCTACAGCATGAGTAGGTGGGAGCCTATAGTGGAACTGACCCAAGACTTCCTTTGGAGACCTTGTATAGGGCTCTTACTGAGGTGCCTCTGTGTGTGTGTGTGTGTGTGTGTGTGTGTGTGTGTGTGTGTGTGTGGTGGGGGGGAGCATCTAGTCCCCATTATTCCCATTAGCCAGTAAAGGTCACATTATACCTTCCTTAGCCAGTGGCCCCAAGCCCACCTTCCTGTGGAGTAGGAAGAAGAATTTGTACTATCTCAAGCCATTTTCAGCTTTCTGTTTACCAGAGAGTGAACTCAGAAGCCCACAGTCAGGAGTTATCTTCTTAGGAAAGCAGCTTCAGGTCTTCTTCTGTCCTGGGATAGGGTACTTGTGGTGAGAGTGGATGTGCAGTGTAACCTCATTCCTCCTGGTGTAGGTACTGCGGCCTCTGATAGGTGAAGCTCATGAGAAAATCTGATCCAACTATCTCTAGCCTCTTTCTATTCCTTTCTTTTTATTTTTCATTTTAGTGTTATTCAGCACTGTTACAGAATACACTGCATGCTACGTAACACACTGTATAACCTTCTAGCAGTAGACGACCATAACTGAGTTATTTTTCATCAATCAAGAAACTTTCTTAATCAGTGTTCTCCAAATCCTTTGACACATAGTGACAATTAACTCCCAAGATGTGCCTGTCTCTTTCCATCAAATGTTGCTGGTTTGTAAAAATGGCAACCCTGTTTTCCTTACCCCGTTCATGAACTTGTGCATGTACACACGCAGTGGTCAGTCTGGGAATGACCGAGCACACGCCCATAGCGGCAATCCCAGGGAGAACCTGGAACCACATTTTGGCACTGAAATCCTGCTTTCGTCTCCAGCCTCTACTGGTAACCCTCATCCTGGCTGACCCCAAATCCTAGATTGTTTTCCTTTCTGTTCGCTTTTATCTCTCTCCCTAGAGTTGGTAATTCCCTCTCCCCGTTCCTCACTACCAGCCCTACATGTTGAATCCTACTGTCCTGTCCAAAGCTCTCTTCCAATGTCCCATTCCTGTAGGTTTAGAAATGGTCTCTCCCACATCAGATCTTTACGTACACCATGGATTTAAGGCCTCTGTCACAGTCCCTGGATTGGAGTCATGAGTCTTCCTGTTGGGCTAGCCTGCAGTTCCCTCAGGATTGTTGTGGGGCTGTAGGAAGCTGAAGAACAAGAGATTCAGACCTTTCAGTATGAAGAGTCTGAGTCACCTTCTTCCACTCATCCCACTGGTGCCCACAAAGCGAGATGCACAGCTCAGAGGTTAGGAAGCAAGGGTGAGCATCTTTACCTCCCAATGACCCTGTCTGGCTCAGAGGTCCAAATTGGAGATATCTTCACCTCATTTCCAGTATCTGATTGCCTGAGGACCTTGTGGAGTCTGCACCATGGTATATGAAGTCTTCTTCCTCTCTTGGGGGCCTTACCTTCTTTCAGCCTCTGCCTCCTGCCTTGGGCCTCAGCTCTTCCATCAGAGATGGACTGATTTTATTTTTATGAGCTTCTTTACCTTGTTGGGAGGCCTAAATTCCTAGGACTATTGTTTTCCTTTCAATTCATCTCTGCTCAACTGCCTCATCTTTGACATCAGATAAGAAAGGTCTGAGCAGGGTCTATGCTAAACACTTGAGTATGATGGCATCTGCTGCATGGCAGGTGGGTGAGGGAGAAGGTGGAGGATCCGTAACAGGAGGCTCCATCCCTGCCCTCTTCCCCCTGGTTGAGCAGAAAGCTGAAGGTACATGAGATGCCTTCTCAGTCATAGGTGGACCTCAGTAGTCATCAGCCTCAAAGCAGTGTAAAATATGACCAAGCAGTGTTCCTTACCACCCTGCCTGAGGCTGAAAACAAAACAAAAAAGCAAACTAACAAAGAAATAGGAAGGAATTGGGCTTTCAAATCTCCCTGGACCAGTTTTAACCCAAATACTTTATTCTATCTTCTTATTCTTACAAGAGTCCTCAGGGTACATACTGGTAACTGATATCCCAAACTACAAATAGTTGGTGGCAGAGCAATTTCCTGTCTTTCCTGTTACCACTGCAGATCCTGGATTCTGGACTTTTCAGATGGGGATATCCTTTAGTTCCTCTCCCAAGGATCCTGTCCTCTGACATCTGTGCCTTGCTCTGACTAAGCTCACTGAAGACGGAGCAGCTGGTGTTTGAAAGAGGAGCTTTCTTGTAAGTGGACAGTGGGGAGTCTCGATGGGGTGGGAGATCTGGAATGAGGAACCTTATACGCTGGTTTAGAACAGATAAGCATAGATGTTCTTTTATCTTTGTCTAGGTTCCTTTTTTTCATAGAAGACATGTCTGGGATTTCACTCATGTTCTCAAATCTGCTACCTCTCTGCAGTATAATGTCTTTCAGTAGGTATTTTTTTTTGAGAGAGTTTTTTTTTTTTTCTTTTTTGCTATAGGGTGTGTGCGCTCACCAGACAGACAGAGAGAGACAGAGGACCGCAGTTTGAGTCCTAGACCCAGTGACTTGAAATCATGGTGCGTGCTTGTGTGTGCATGCCCAAGGTCTCAAGAGGAGAATAGAGGAGAAGGGATTGTGGCATGTCCATCCCCCGGGGGATGATTTCTCACTTTCCATGTCACTGTTTTTGTCTCTCTCTGGCGAGTGCCTTTAGCAAAAAAACCCAAAAAAAAAAAAAAAAAAAAGCAAAAGAAAAAGAAAAAAGAAAAGTCTTATTGGTAGGTGAAGACTTACTCCTGACATTTTAAAAAATTTTATTTAACTTTATTTATTTATTTTAACTTGATCAGAGAGGGACAGAGAGAGAAAAAGGAAGAGAGAGAGAAACTGAGAAAGCAAGCTGCCAGGTCCAGGACTAAACCTAGGTCGGCCATGTGGGAGTCCAGCACCCTTAACCACCACGCCACCTGCCTGTCATTTTATTAACTGTTTTCTGTTTTTTTTTTTTTCTTTCTTTCTTTTGTTCCTTTCTTTATATTGTTTATTTTTGGAGTTTTGTGATTTTCTCTAGTGCTAAGATTTGATTCCTTTTTCTTTCTGATTTGTTTATCTGCCCTATCAGGACCTTTTATATTTTTTATGATGGTAATTATCAGCCTTTTGTTTTCAGATATAGAACTCACTTAAGCATAAAGCTGATCTAGTGATGATAAATTCTCTTATACTTTGTTTATCTGGGAAAGACTTCATTTTTCTCTTCATTTCTGAAGAATAATAGCTTAGCTGGGTTATGGTGTTCTGAGCTGGCAGTGTTTTTCTTTCAGTATTGTGAATGTTTCATCCTGTTCTCTTCTGGTGCCTAAGATTTCTGCTGAGCAATCTGCTGTTAGCCTGGTGTAGACTCCCTCATATGAGAGTGTGTAGCTTGATGCTTTTCTTTTGATGCCTTAAGAATTCTTTCTTTGTCTTTGTCTTTTGACAGTTTGACTATAATATGCTTTGAAGGGGATCTTCTTGGGTCAAATCTGTTTAAAGACCTTTGAACTTTCTGAATGTGGATGTCCATATGTCTCCCAAGACTTTACAAGTTTTCAGGTATTAGTTCTTTAAATAGTTTGTCTATACCTTTCCCCATATTGTCTCCTTTTGGAACTGCCATATTATGAATATTTGTTTGCTTAATGATACCCCGTAGGTCTGGTAGGCTTTGTTTATTCTTTTTTGTTCTTTATTTTATTATTGTATTTTGTCTGACTAGGTTTTTTCAAAAGACCTGTCTTCCAGTTCATAAATTCTTCTGCTTGATCATCTGTGGTTGAAACTCTTGTATTTTTTATTTCTTCCACTGAATTCTTCAGCTTCTTGATTTCCATCAGGCTTTTCTTCAAAAAAAATTATTATTTTTTATTGACCATAGGTTGTGTGTGCTTACTAGGGAGAGACAGAGAGAGGGAAATTGAGAAATCACCCCCACCACCCAGGGGAGATGGTCATACCACAATCCCTTCTCCATTCTCCTGCTGGGATTTTGGTGGTGCACACACATGCACCTGGCATGATTTTCAAGCCATCAAATCTGGGACTTGAAGTGCAATCAGATATGTGGGAATCTAAAGCCTCAACTACCATGGCACTTTCTGGCCCCTGATTAGGTTCTTTTTTATGTAAATGTCCTCATTGAATTTTTCACTAGGATTTCATATTGTTTTCCTGATTTCATGGAATTGGCTATCTGTATTCACTTGTATCTTATTTTTCAGTCTTTTGAATTTCTTTCCAGGTGTCTTATAGATTTCCTTTTCTGTGGGGTTTCTTGCTAGAGAATTATTGTGCTCATAGTAGGGGGTGGGGATGCCGTGTTTCTTGCTTCTTATGTTTCTCATGCCCATATCGATATTTATGCATCTGGTTTATCAGTGGCCTCTTCCAGTTTTATAGGGTGACTACATGGAGAAAGATGGTCCCCTCAGAATGGGGCCTCGGTTATTCGGTAGAGTGCATTGGCTGTGGTGCTAGAGAGTAGGGTAGTGCTGTCTGTGTGACCAGCATTGGCGATATCTGAGAGTGCCTTGGTCACCTAGACTGATGGGAGTTTGTGGCTGGCCTACCAGTTGGTACCTGGCTCTCCTAGAGACAGGGCAACTCCATGGATGAGTGGAGTCCTCTGGTGCTCCCATGTGGCATGTGGTAGAGGGTGAGTTTCCTGGCTGTTTCCACAGACCATAGATAGACAGGACTGCCCTTGCAGCTCCCTGCGTGGTGTGCAGCTGTGGACAGGGTGGCTTGTCCAGCTACTCCTTAGGACAGAGGTGCGTGTGATGGCAGACGGTGTTGTGCAGCTGTGGCCAGGCAGAGGCGTGTGCAGCATGACCTGGACTCCTTCTCTGGGGCAATGCTGCAGAGTAGACCCTGGCCACTCCCCAAACTGGGCTCAGGGTATATGAAGGCTGCCGGATTCCACTCAGTAAAGATGCCGTCAGAGTGAGTTTAAACTACTGGGTTGGACTCAAGCCATAAAGGTGGGCCATGAAGGGTCAGCTACTTTACCCACTGCATCACGTGGCCAGTCCCTAAAGTTCACACTTTATTCACATGTCCTTAGTTTTAACCTGACGTCCTCTTTATGTTCTAGAATCTTCTTCGGGAGCCCTGCCTATATCCTTAGACCCCTCTGGATTGTGACAGTTTCTCAGACTTTCCTTTTTTTTTTTTTTTTTTTTTTGGAGGGGTTTTTGCTTTAGGGCACATGTGCTGGGCAGGAGGGAACAAAGTGAGAAATCACCCCCAGGGAGCGGCCACACCATGATCCCCTCTCCTTCCCTATCTTGAGCCAGCATGCACAGGAGCCCTGCATGATTTTGAAGCCCCTGGGGCTGGGATTCAACTGCATTCAGCCTTGTGGGAGTCCAGAGACCTAACTGCTATGTAATCTGCTGGTCCCATAAAATTAGATTTTCAAAAATACTATAAATGTCCTTGGGACCAGCAGTTAGCATAATGGCTATGTCACTAGACTCCCATGTAGTCAACTGTGGTTCGAGTCGCAGACCAGGTGACTTAAGCCGGGCACGTGTGCGTGTGCGCCCAAGATCCCAAGAGGAGAATGGAGGAGAAGGGACTGCGGCGTGGCCATCCCCCCTGGGGGGTGATTTCTCACTTTCTGTCTCTATGTCTCTCTCTGTCTGTCTGGGGAGCGCACGCG